CCATTCACTGACACATCGTACTGCTCTGCTTTGCAGGAGATTTTGGCCTGAATCACACATACAAAACTGACAGTAAGACGAGGTGTTTGTTCTCATGTCACAAACAAACTTCTACTCTTAAAAAATTAGTTCACCCAAAATGAAAATTCTGCCAGAGTTTACTAACCCTCATAACATTCTAAACCCATAAGCATTTGCATATTTATATATTTTTGTCCATTTAACCATGCAGAGATAAACAAATGTCTTACGGGTTTGGAGCAACATGAGGGAGAATAAATGAATTTTCATATTTGAGTGAACTATCCCTTTACCAGTATAGAGTAGTCACTTCAGATATGTATCAAACATGAAACAATGCAAATATCTATAACTGTCATACACTGTCCATGTGAACAGAAAAAGTTGGTACCATCAAGATGTTAGTATGCCTATACCTGAAAGAATTTGCCTTGTATAAAAGGTATGCCTTCACTCTTTTCTTCTAGCCCCCAACTCCCATTTTCATGGGTATTGCGGACAACTGCATTCTCCTCAAAACGGCATTGGTAGTGAAATGCAACCCCATATCTGTGGCGCAGATTAATCGCTATGCTAATAAAGAATGGAACAGAAGAGTTGTCGGAAAAATGTTTAGGTAAATACATTTATGTATGTTTATGATGTGTCTATGTCAGAAAGAAAGGATTTTTTCTAACCTTTTACAGTCAGGGTTGGGAATTCCATAAATGACAATGCTTTTGTCAGGCTTTAGTCCATTGATCAGTTCTTTTTTGTATGGTGGCACCTGATTGCAGGAAAAAGGACCAAAGTGTAAAAGGATTTATAAAACTGTAATATGCAAAAATTGAATTATCATATGCTTAACAGTGGTAGTGTATTTGTTCCTAACAGAATTCTGGTAGCCAATGAACTCCAGCTCGATGTTTTGGTCCACTGAGATGGTGTTCACTTGAGTGATTGGAATATGGTGTTCATAGTCCTTTAAGTGTTTCCCATTAGCACTTATCTGTGGAAAGCCATTGGATAATGAGCAAAGTAGTAGAAAGCAATCATTGTTCTCATTCTGCTAGTACAGAAACAATACATGTTGGCATGAAAATAGCCTTATGTTGGCATGGCATTATACATCCAAATGAATGGTTAACTTTTAACTTCTGCAAAGCGCGCATACCTTGTATGCCTCCTTGGTGACAAGGATCTCGATGGCGAACAGTTTGTCTTTGAAGAAAGGAGAGTCAGGCGTGGATTGTTCAGAGCCCCATGTACCGTTCTTGTAGGTGTTGTACATTACATGTGCACTGTCGTTCTCATAGCGCGGGTTTATGTGCAGAGCAATATCAGCATCAGAATCAGAACCGCACTGAAGGTTCACATGTAATCTGCAGAACACAGAATGAAAACCGGGCACAAAACTAGCCACAGCAATGGTAACATGCCATTAAATAAGACATTAAGAATAATTTGTCCTTTAAGAGCAACATGAAAAATAATTCTCACCTGTTAGCATCTGGCAAACTCCGTCCAATTATGATAACACGCTTCCCTTCCTGCAAGCCTCCCTTGATTGATGTAATTGTGGTTGTCTGTGTTTGAGATGTGGATACAGTAAGCATATTTATGCATTTATGTTTTGAAATAACAGTGATGATAATGACGGCAGATAAAATAATAAAATAACTTATTTTGACAAGATGCTCTAAATGTTGCTGAATACCTAAATGTCTAAAATTCAGTGCACCCCATACAGGTCTAAATATGCCATAAACATTGCTGCATATTACTATATACTGTATATACACTTGTATATATGTCACTGAAACCTCATTATAGAGTCTATTATTAAAAATGTCACTTACTGGTTTATAAATTGCCAGCTGTTGCTCACTAGCTGCCATTCTGCCAATTCTTGTTTTTCTGCAGTCAAAAATGCAAATCTTCAGCTGGGTATTCAAGACCAAGGCTTGAGCACCACGGATGTGAAAGCATGATGCGGAGTAGCCTAAATATAGCTGTGATTATAAGCCCGCCCATATATTATACATAGGTTATTTTATACCTACCTGGAAATGATTGGAATCTACCTTGAAATATGTTCTCCCAGACAGCTGAAATGCAAACAAGTGTAAAAGGCAGATAACAGTAGTCCAGAGACGTGATAATGAAGAACATGATGACTGATAAAATGACCAAAAATGCATGAGGGCCACAATCATTGGTGGATATCTAAGGTATACACTGGAATATGTCTGCTTTTTGGATAGATATACATATCTATATAACTTGGAAATTATCTAAGAAATGTTGTCTGCCAGACAGGTAAAATACAAACATGGATAAGAGGAGATATCATACACTCTTAGAGAAAAATATGAATATATGGCTAAATAAGGTAAAAAGGCGTACCATTTGAAAGGGCATAAAATCATGGAACAGTATCAAAACCATTGAAATCCAAAAGAACAACAATACTAAGGAGCCATAAAAATAATATTGATTAAAAAGAACTCTCAAACGAGGGTAGGATTCTTCAAATCCTCATCTCAATTAGCCCTAACATTTTTATTTTTTTGGTACTGGCTCTAAGAAATATTAGTTTTTGGTTCTCAGAACATTCCACAAATAGAGCTTTAAAGGGTTAAGAATGTTTAATGTTACCTTAACATTACATTTCAGGAATATTTCTGCGACCATGCTGCAATATTACTTCAATAATCAGTAGATTAAAGATTGAATTCTTTCATGAATATGTAAGGTTATCTGGAATATTCATCTATCACTGTACCACTGAAAACTGCCCAGATCATTATCAAAAGAGTAAAAAACATCCCTACAGTGTTCTGGGAGAATTTATGGTTATTAAAAAAAAAA